GCATGAGTACGAAGTATATGAAATTCCATGTCGATCTTATAAAGTTCAGATGAATAACATTCGAGGTGCAACACGTTCATGTTTTAAGCCTCAAATATTTTATATTTTGTGTTCTCATGTAATTGCAGTTTTTGGATATCATCAACTTGACCACAATCCACATGTTTCTCAGTATCATTTACTCCGTAAGTACAAAGAAACATACGTGGCCCCGTTTCACGTAATTCTAAACAAGTTTGAATGGGTGAATTCCAATCTTCAACATGGTATTATCAAGTTGCTTTCACTCACATTCAGGCGTAGATTCGAACTACCAGGAACCAAGCGCTACACTAACACAATGGATGAGACTAGGACACGAAACTCAAGAATTTATAGTTTGTGCAATACGTCAGAACACTATAAGTCTATTTGTCTGCTAAACTTGGGGAAGAATAAGTAAAATTATTATAACTTTATTAATTAATTTTTTGCATAATTTATGATTTGTTCTATTGCATGTTGATTAATATTATAGGTATAGATATGATGGCTAAGGTAGGGTTGAGACATCGTCACGGGCGACTGGTCCGGGATAGTTATAATCCCCATGACTATGATTATGTTTTTTTTAATTTTATTCTGAAGAAAACTTTATCTATGATTTTTTTTTGTAACTTGTTTAAACTTATAACATTGTTGCATTCCTATGCTTACTATTTTTTATTTCAAAGTTAGATTTTAGTGGGTTGTTTTTTAGTTTTATGGACAGTTGTGTTGAATCGATTTTAATTTTGGTGCATTGGAATTTATAGCGTCGCATCTCTCATTGCCACTTTGATTATTTAATGATTCATGATTTACATATGTTTTTTTCTTAATTTCAATCGCACTAAGCCTAAATGTAAATGAGAGTGTCATGCTTGAAAAATAACCTGGACATTATCAAGGGCGATGTGTTGACAATACCTTTGATCCTTCACCTGTAGTTCTTTACTCTAGCATATGTGTTGTGAGGTTTACACCAAGCTGCACTGATGCAGTATGTTTCAAACCATTTATATTTATGATTTTTTTTATGTTTTGTTAAAATAGCATAGTTTATATTATGTTCTACAGAGAACCATTTTAGAGGCAGCCTCACACTTGTTTATGGCCAGAGAGTGACGGATTGCATGCCCTCATTTCTTAGAGGGTTGGTGTCGGCTTGGCCTAGATTGCATCAGATATATGCATTACATCAATGTTGATCATGATTTATTGACGACACTTGTGAAGCGATGGTTGTCCGACACAAACTCATTCCACCTGGCTGTGGGTGAAAAGACGATTATTGTAAAAGATTTAGGATGAAACTCGGTGTGTGCATTGATGACCCTCTAATGATTAGTCTAAATGTAATAGGGGCAGGACGCAGGTGGTATTCATAGCCTGTCTGTTGCAAAAAACTTCTCGGTGCTCGTCCAGAAGAAGGTGTCATGTATCACCACCCAACTGATCTAGAGTTGATCCTGACATTCCAGATGGGCCAATCTCAAAAACATACATGCATGCCCCACAGGTGACTTAGACAGACATTCTTTCGTGAGTCATAATTAGGCTTGATGCGTGCTAGAAAATTCGTGACGGTAGAGTAATAGATTATCGTCTTAGCATTGCACTAGAATTCAACACACATAAATAAAAGAAGAGAAGTAAGCAAGAGGAGACACCTTAACATTTTACGTGGAAAACTCTTGAAAGGGAGAAAAACCAAGAGGCCTAGCCCAGTTGAAATAATCCACTATGAATGATGAGTACATAGATTCATTCTTCCCCTAAATTAGGGAAGATAGAATTACAAAGTTGCATGACTATAATCTGGTTGCAGTTCTTAGCGACAGTAGGTTGCAAGGGTCATTGTTGATTGTTGTGGAGGTAGTAGTCCGTCGTGAGTGTTGTAGACGGTTGCTTCGATAGCGTTGATTGGTTAGTAAAGCCATAGTAAGCAGCTGCAGGAGCTGTAGACCACATAGGTCGTAATTGGTTACGTAGACTATAGTGGTGAGTAGTGGTGACATCCACAGACCATGTGGACCAAAGTCTGGTGATGCACAAATTGTGGACCATATAAGTCGTAGGGGCGAGTCTTAATGACGTTCGTAGACCACAGGAGCCAGAGTCGGGAGCTACACAAGCTGATGACCTTGTAGGTCTTTTGGGCAAGTATGAATGACGTCTGTGGGCCGCGGGGGTCAGATTCAGAAGCTGCACGAGCTGTGAATTAGGTAAGTCGTAGGGGCGAGTGTGAATGACGTCCATAGGTTGCGGGGGAAGCCCCCGGGATCTGCATGAGCTGTGAACCACGTAGGTCGTAGGGAGAGTATGAATGACATTCGTAGGTCATGGGGCCGGAGTGGGGAGCTGCACAAGTTATGAACCACGTAGGTCGTTGTTGACACATGGACCGTAGTGATCAGCTCTTGTCCCACAACAATGATTGATGGTTTTGATCAGTGGTGATCGACGGTGACAATCAACAGTGGTTGACGACAATCGACGGGTGTTGATGATGACCGGTGATGGTCGATGATGATCGGCGGTGGTCGGGATGGTGTTGGACTTCAGCTCATTCTCAAAGCCTCCAATTCTCTCCAAAGCTTTAAGTCTCTCCCCTCATGTGAGGGGTGGGGCTCTATTTATAGTGTTATGGGTGTCATTAATGCATGAATATGAATCATTTTGATTAGACGGTCCGAAGAGCTGTCCTAAATCAGATGGTGTTTAATGGACATTTGAAAGTTTTAATGATGTCAGAATTGAGTGATCTTGGGCTCGTTCGATTCATTTTGACAAAATGGTCGATTCGACTATAAACTTGCCAGATTCGACACTCGTTTGTCTTTCCAAATTTGTCTAGAAATTTTCCAAGAATGGTTTAATAATTTGATCTGAACTTGATTTGACTCAAATTAGACTTACTTTGAAATCATTAGATCTGTCTCATTGAACCGGTCAGTTTGACTATAAGTTTGCTGATATCAGAGCGCTGGATGAGTTTTTATCAAGATTTAAAGGTTCTTTACTTAAAAAATCATCTCGAGATCCGTGGAATGCTTCGAGATTCGTGTAGGATGATGAATATTTGTTGTTGTCGTATCAAGGCTTAAATGACATTTCATTTCAGAGGCACATTGTGTTTGCTTATTATTATTATTTTTTGGTTTTTTTATTGCCCAATACTTCTAGATGCGAGATACATATGCATTATTTGCCTCTTGTGAAAGCTCTTTAGGAATTTTCAAAGTACTCATTAGGATGGGCGATAATAACACACCTTCAAAGAGATTTGAAGCTTTCTATGATACCCGAGAGAGTTAATATGATCAGGTGTTTACTCCTTTTACTAATTTAGAGCTGGAAACATCTTCATGTTGGTCGTCCAACATTACACGCACCATATCCTCATAACTTGGAAGGCAATAGCCTTTGATTCAGGTCTGCATTATCTAGTTTAAGTAATAGATTAAATTTGTAAGTTCATTTACTTAATGCCTACTTATAAGTGGAATGAGCAACGTGTCTGTGAAATGCCTACAACAAATGTAAGAATTTATATGGATGTAATAGATGGTTTGTTTGAGAGCTTAGGTTAATGCACTTTAAATTGTAATTATAACATGTTTTGGCGTTCCTTCATTTTTGATATATGGTGTACATATTTCAATCGTTCCTTTTAAGGTAAATGCATCGTAGGGCAGGATGTATGGAAAGCTTGAGCCCCATTGATCTGTTGGCAACGTGTCGAGTGGCACTTACCTGAGAGTGTTATGAAACAATTTGGTGAGATTCAACAAATGGACATGGAGCCAATGGAGCCATGTTTCAAGCGTAAAGATAGTAGAGGAAAAGGCTGATTTGGACTGGGTTGAATTCCATTAGTCTTACGTAGAAAGGTGGGGTAATCGACGAGCATGCATTATCCACCATGAGAACACAAGAGTTGATGTGGGTCAATTCCGCAGAGACTATATGCATTGATACTGGTCATGGGTTTTTCTGTAATCATTTCAAGCTCTAGCTAAGGCTCCAACGACCTATTTTCTGAGCGCACTGAGGGCGAGGATACTAGTATTTTTGTAGATGTAGTTAAATGTAAGTTTATGTTTATTGCCCTAACTAATATTAGTTTTTTTAATGTCAGCTTCATTATTTCTTAATGGCGGAGGAATTATTCCAACCATCATTAGTTTATTACGAGAAATGGTAGATACTGTTAAGGGCGAAACATTTATATCACAGATAATCGTTATAGGTCAGACAAAAATTCCAGCGCAGCCATCTACATCGGCACAATGGACCCTTGGTTTTGGATGTGTTGCCCCACACAATCCTACTTATCCATGTCCATCATTTTTTCACAGCGTAGGTGGATCACATGTTGCAGTTAGATCACAAAACACTGGTGGGTCACAAGATACAAATACATATACTAGCACACCATTTATTCCACTACAACATGAGGTGTCATTGACACCCTCAATTTATCACAACTCACCTCTACTTTGGATGAGTGACATACCTTTTCCATTATGAACACCTTATATTGGTCATTTCTAGATGTCTCCCTCTAATCCATCACAACAAGCACAAACCATAATCAACCCAACCAGGCATCACGACCTCAACATTTACAGAAATATGATCAACATCATTTGAGAGATCGATCATGTAGACATGAAAGTTACTGTAAAAGAAAAAATTATCCCCCTTATATATGGAAAATAATATTCCAATTTTAAAAGTTCGTAATAATAATAGGTTTCATCCTGTATGGTATTAAAGATTTTAATGAACGATTAATAATTGTAAACACATCAAAATTTTCATATATAAATATCTCAAAAAAAATTTTTTTTAATGTAAGAGATATTAAAGTATTTTATAAAGAGCATAAAATATTAAATATATAAAAAAAATTAATCACGCATGTAAATTCTCCTTATATTGTTAAATTAACATCTTAAATTGCATCCTGTCGAAGTTGTAAGCTAATTCACTAGATAAATCCATGGACCATGCTAACAAGCCAATCAGGCGATTCTGGCCTAGGGTTATTTGATCTCCATAGTGCTCCTTCTTTGGCCCTGTTTTTCCGTTTGCCTGTCATACGGCCTTCCGTTTTCTGCTCCGCTAATTCGACGACCTTCCTCAATCTCATCTCCTTATATCACTCCATTCCACACGAGCTCTGTCGCTACTTTTCCCCTTTTCTCTACTTTTCGGTGGGCGAGATTTTTTTTCAACAGGTAACTTACCTTCTTTCCGATCGCCCTATTCTCTCCCTCTCTCTGCCTTATCTTCATGTTCTGCCCTTTTTTGACGAGAAAGCGCGGTTAGGGTTTACGAACAAGTTTCTTACGAAGTTAGTTCATAATTAGCTTTTATTTTGATGAATTTTTTTAATTATTTTAATGAATCGTTTCTTTACCATAAAGATGAGAGTATGAGTGGCGCTATTGTATTATGCGCTTCTATTGTAAGTATGTTTATGTTTGTAAGAAAAAAGGATCGTTTTTTACCTAAATCTGAAAAAAAAAATTGATTTCTGTCTGATTACATGTCTTACAATTTATCATCGCAGGAGATCCTTGCTGCAAGTTAATTTGAGTTCCCGCTTCCCTTTTTGCTTTTAAAATATGTCTTGGTGTACAATCGAATCGGATCCTGGTAAGCTGATGTTATTATAGACGACTAATGTCTTTCTTATTTATGATTCATAGCAGTGGGAGGACATATCAATCCTGATTTTTCCTTATGTTTACTGTTATCTAAATTTTGCTTTAGGCTAATTGCTTTTCTTGGTGAAACATTATGCCTTCCTTCTAATGTTTGCCTATAAATTTTGGGAATCAAAATATTGTAGCCCGTAAGGTTTAAATGCTCATTTGAGATTTTCCTACCATTCTTATCTTCTACATTGTCATAGGTGGATATTTCCTTAAAATCTAATATCATGTATACTTGTATTGTCCTTATTGGTTATATTTTATTATTTATTTTTCATTGACTGAGGATGATCATTCGACATTCATATCTGCTATTAGTTATTTTAATTTATTCGGTGTATCTAGATTGGCTCATGGTTCTTATTTCTTAATGTTTTTCACTTATCACGACTAGCTCTGAATGGCCATTGTACGAAAAACTGTGATCTTAATAAAAGATTGTTATTTTGATGTTTATTGTGGATTTTGATCATTTAACGAGTTTACAATTTGAAAATGTGAATGAATAGTAGCCAATCCATGAAAATCAGCCTTCAAATTTACCTTTTTGCATGTGTTTCTGTTTATTCGAATCTATTTTACAAGATATCATTTTGGTGATTTGCTAAGCATGGACTGGAGTTTTTTTATCACGTGTTCAAGGTTTATATATATGGTTGCGGTTTATTTTCCCTTTATGTTCGAGACTACATTGTTTTTTGGTTGTCTAAATTTCCGCTTATCACGTGTAATTTTCTCTTGGTTGTCTTAGGCCTTTGTTTGAGTAGAACTAAAACTAAATACATGGAATTTAATTATAGTAGTAGTTCTAGTGGCAGAGTTGTAACTATGGGTGATCAAATCTTTAGAAGGTGTGAACATTTTAGATGTCTCGGGTCTATTGTTCTGAGTGATGGTGATATAGATGGGGATGTTATTATTAGAATTCAAAGTTGGTTGGATGAAGTGGAGGAATGCTTCGGGTCCGTTGTGTGATAGAAAGTACCACTTAAATTGAAAGAAAAATTTTATAAGATACTGGTGAGATCTGCAATGCTCTATGGCGCAAAATATTGGCCTTTAAAAGAGAAGCATAGCATAAAAAATAAAAGAGAAGCATAAAAAAAAGTTAAGTGTTGCTGAGATGAGACTGCTTAGGTGGATGAGTGGCTTGACACTTAGAGAGAAAATGTGAAATGAATATATACTTGATAAGGTTTGTGTAGCTCCAGTGGCGGACAAGATTAGAGAGAGTCATCTTAGATGGTTTCATCACATTAAATGTTGACCATCTGATGATATGGTTAGGAGAGTAGATGTTTTAGCTTTGAATGATGTTAAGAAAGGCAGAGGTAGGCCTAAAAATACTTAGGCATAGTGCATAAAAAAATGATCTTAATCTATTAGAATAAATGAAAATGACACTGAATAGGATACAATGGAGAAAAAATGATTCATTTAACCGGCCCCACTTAGTGGGATAAAGGCCTGTTGTTTTTGTTGTTGTTTTTCTTTTTTGGCTTCGTAAACCCTTATGATTTCACATGACTTGTTATTGTAGTTAAATAATATGTGAGAAGTTTCATAAAACATGGCAACTGGATGGTTGGTCTGATGATGCCCCACCAATAATGGACTAGCCATTTCACAGATGTTGTTTAAGGATAAACATTGATGGTGCTCATACTGATGATTTGGTTGAATTGAAATAAAGATGCCACATATGTTCTATGACATCGATAAATTTTGTTAGTGGGTTTTAAATTCTATTAACATTAATTAAGATGGAATCACCAAGGAAATGTATTGCCTAGCATGTTATTCAAAATGTGAAAAATATCATGCATGCATTTTATTTTAAGGGCATTTTGTATACAATTCCTATGTGTTTACATATCTAAACTTTACTTTTTTACATTTATGCCACCTAAATCTTTTATATCAAGTAAAAAATATCGCCATTTTAACTTTTAAAAGGTGGAATACACCTTTTCATGCATAGGTAAGGTGACATGTATGTAAAAGTTTGAATTTTAGGTGTTAGATTTGTAATGGCATAGTAATTGAGTGGTATGTATGTAAATCATTTTTTTTTAATGTGCATGATATTCTTCACACGGTTTTGTTGGAGCTAGGATAGTCAAGGCTAGTTGGCTAAGATTTATGAGGTCTCAAGTCGAGGTGCCACTTAGGTGGGGCTGATCAGGGAAAGCTGATTAGATTTCTTCTAATGTGACTGAGGAAACTTTTTTATTGCCTTACTGAAACTTCCTTTTTTGATCATATGGCATGAATTCATGGACCCTGTGAAGCTTGATGGGCTGAAGGAAACTAACAAATTGGTTCTCCCAGCCCTTTTCCTGTTGTTTTTAATGATTGAACTTGAGGCAATTACTTGGGTTATGCAACTTCAAATTGGCACCCCCCCCCCCCCCCCCCCCCCCAACAAAAAAATAACAATT